GAAAGAAAACACAGTCGTCAGTCGTCACCTCCATTCGCTCCAAGTCAGTTTATTAAAGGATCACGCGCGCGTTATCGTTCGGCTTATTAGCTAAACAGTAGGCAAGACGGTGCGGGGGGAGGGTCGGCGATCGCATCAAGCGAAGCGAGACGCTTGAATTTTATTCTCGCGTCCGTAATTTTTTTGCGATTACTCCTAAGATATTCATTTAAATTATATGGTGTAAAAGAGTAAAATAATGTGCATGAAATGCTTAAAGCCTCTAACTTATTTAAAATGATAAGGATTAATACCGTATTTGTGTAACTAGCTTTTACATTACCGCTTTATAATTGCCAATTTTTTAAAGTATTAAAATGGATATAGGTAGTATGTTATCTTTGTTATCTTTAAAATATAGACATATGCCATCACGGACTTTTCTGTAGGCATATATAAGATACACAATTCCACCATACATTGATACACTACATAAACATTCGGACCCCCCCCCCCGGCTCGGACGCAAGGCGCGGGCGGACCCCACCCCCCCAGCTCGGACGCGTGGCGCGGGTTCACGGAGCCCGGTCGAATCACGGCGACACGAAATTAATTTCGTTGCGCATTATTTTGATTTTGCTATATCTCCTAAGGTATTCATTTAATTTGCATGGTGTAAAGGGACAAATAATCTTCATGAAATGCTCAAGCCAACTAACGTAATTAAAATGATAAGGATTAATAATTGCCCATTTTTTAAAGTATTAAAATGGATATAGTATGTGATCCTTAAGAGATAGACATATGCCATCGCGGACTTTTCTGTAGACCTATACTCGTATAAGATACACAATTCTACCATACATTATTTTGTTATATATCAAAGGGTTTAGGCAGCGTTTTCGTTGAAACCTCCCAGACGGCTTATTTTTTTCCGACACCTCCAACAAATATCGTGAATGTATACAAAATCTTAACTAATTATATACTAAAGCCTTCCTTGAGAACCACTCCATCAATTGGTGAAAACAGTATGAAAATCGGTGCAGTAGTTTTTGAGTTTATCGCGAACAAACAGACAGACAGACAGACAGACGCGGCGGAGGAATAATAGGTTATAATATGTAGTGATGTATACAAAAACTTAACAAATTATATACTAAAACCTTCTTCGAGAACCACTCTATCCATTGGTGAAAACAGCATGAAAATCGGTGCAGTAGTTTTTGATTTTATCGCGAACAGACAGACAGACAGACAGACAGACGCGGCGGAGGACTTTGTTTTATAATATGTAGTGATATGAACATTAGTAATATATAAAATTTGTTTTACCTAGTGGCGAGGCAATAAAATGCACTTATTGGTATTCTAAATATGTATATTGATTTGAAATGTATGATATACTGGATATATTCATTCATTCATTTGTATGTCACAACTTACAATTTTTCTTGTTTTAGTTAATTTTATTTTCTGATAGTTATATGTATTTTTTGCTTACTGATGTACCTATATAAGTACTATGTATTTTTGTTGTATATATTTATATTTATATTTCTTTTCTTTCTTCTCACTATCCTGTAATTAGGACTTGTTCCTATGGGACAGTTTAGTTTAAATAAATAAATAATAAATAAATAAATAGTACTTCCAATTAGCAGGTTACTCTCTGTCAGTATGGCCGTTTAAAGGCCTAGAAATAGCAGTGGCCGTTCATAGATGTAGCATTTACATCTCATCTACATTATCTAGACGCTACTAACCAATAATTTCTTTGCAGATCGTGGATGGCAATGCGAAGACGGACGTGTCCAACCGCAAGGAGCCCGGCATGTTCTGCGGGGAGAGCGAACAACCCCAGACTTTCATGTCTGAGACGTCGTTCGTCAAGGTGGTGTTCCACGTCGAGAATTTCACGGACCAGACCTACTTCAGCTTCGACACGAGGGCGGAGCAGCAGCTCGTTGTCTACCTGCGCTACGGCCAACACCCCGAGCTCTATCCCAACAGAAGGGGTGAGGTGGTCCAGGGGTAAGGGATGTTTTATTGTTTTTTGTGTGTTTGTGGTACTGAAGTTGCAGGACATTATTCATTCATATTAGTTATGTCATCATGTTTCAGCTCGTACTTCTGTGTCCGTGATATAACTTCAAGAGGTTATTCAAATGTTCAGAAGCTTTAAAAAATTAAAAGATTTAATCTAGTCACGGGTCTTCGAGGAAAATTATGTGGAAATTTTGATACAGATTTATGAAATTTGCTGATGAAAACTATAATTTATTTATTAATTCGTTTTTCGTGGTTTTAATATCTGATATCTTTCAAAAAAATTTGTCTATACTCCGCGGTCGAAATTATAGAGAGTGACTCAGACATAATATAAAAACACTATTACCATAATTCGTATAAAATATAAAATGATTTTTATATGGTTCAATATTATTTATCTTTGTGCCGCTCGCTACGCACATCGATAGGATCTATTAATCGTATATAGACTGAGTTACACTGAACGTCGATCTATATTCTATCTCTATCCTTTGCACTTGTTAGGGAATAGGGGAATGCTTTTTTAATGGGTATAAACGGACTTGATTTATCCGTCCTGAGAAACGTCATAGCATAAGCGTAGACGAGGGGTCTAATTCAATGGCTATAATAAATTTATATATTAAAAAAACACAACTGGGACGTTTTAAAATGCTGTAATAATTAAAATGGATCAAA